CTCACTTTGAAGGGATTTCCTTTCAATTCCTGTTTTAGCTATGTGTACAATATGAACTTGGTTACAGATAATGGGACTTTTGAGGTGCCAATAATACCAAAAACATAATATACTAATAAGATATTTTATTGTAACATGTATCAAGCAATAAAATCCATTGACATAAAAACTTTGGGTGAAAGTCACTCCAAACATATTCTATACAGTACATACATACATATTATACAATTATTGACCTATATGATCTGATTTTGCAGGTAAAACATATGTTATCCTTCAGCAAGAGATACCTGTTAATGGGAGTTGGTAAGTACTGTAGTTCCTTCAACATGTTTCATGATGAGCTTCATCAGAAAGATGTACTACTTAGTACTGATCTATTGAGCATATTAAACAAAAAGAAAAAATATCAATAATAAGTATGATTCACAACATATTTTATTTTCAACTAGTTTTTATTAGAGTTTTTTTTACATGTTTTGAAGCTTCATATCCAGGGAACCCAGAGGGTTTTAATGGTCACTAGGCCAGAATAGCTGACCCCAAACCTCCAAAGAACCATAACTATGCTAAAAACCAAAGGCAATTATACCAAAAAGGGGCAGGACCTAGCCTTAAAGTAGAACTAAAGACAAAACTTTTTTTGTTGTTGTTTTGGACAGAGTGGTGAGGGATTAGAATACCTGTATGCAAGTGTACAATCCAAACGCACACATTCCTGCATTAAAAATGGCTGTGTGTATAAGTGGGTGCTGCAGCGACTGTCAGCTGGAACTGAACAAAATCAGCAAGGGAGAATTTCACCAGCACACCTATCACAAATATGGGTCCAAACGTTTTCTTGTTTAAACATTTTATTGAATTTCCACAGCCAAGAAACAAGCATAGAACATTTCAAATACATGTACAGAAAAAAGGAGGATAATGGGGAACAAGCTGCCTTACAGCAAAAGGGAAATGTCGTACAAAAACATGGAGAGACATGAGAGAATATTGGAAAACAAAGGGTGGCAAGACATGGTTAAGCTCTAGATTGGGAGCACTACTCCCAAAAAGTGCATGAAGATTACATGTAAGGCAATGAGAGAAGGATGGAAGTGAGAAGGAAAGAGGGGAGAAAGATTAGGAGAGACCAAGGGAGAAAACAGAGGAGGGGATGGAGGGATGTGTGACTTCTGGGAAAGAAGGGGCAATCACAGGACCGAACCAATTGGTTGACAGTTACTCTTTAAGAGCAATCTCTATGTCTAAGCAGTGGGAAAGATGGGACAGTAGATTATCATTAATAACTCAGGAGGCATCAGTTGTCAAGGGGGCCAGGGATGAGATGGACGTGAGGACAGCACTATGGTGACCAAGGTATGACCAAGGTAACCAACGTATTGTGGGGGTGAGAATGAAAGATATACCGGCGTTTCACCACAATAAGTTCTCTCCACGTATCAACTAAAGAGTGACAATGTAGGAGTTGTTGAAAAGACATTCTACAGGCCAGCGGAAGAGACGGTTGGGGGGATTTGTCCAGAAAGGGGTATAACGTACAGTCAGAGTCTCCACAAACAAGTAGAGTTTGTGGTGATCCAGGTTAGAATCAGACTCACCATCAGAAGTGCAGCAGGATCTGGGATGTGTAGCCTGTAGCGCAGCATAGGGCTGAGCCTGTGTCTGGGTATGAGATGCAGGAGCGGCCGCCATCTTGGATGAGGCTCCAGCTAGGGCCTCCTTAATCGGCTTTGCCTGTGGTTGTGGCTGGCGCTTGGCGGCTCTCCGGACCATCGCTACAGGAGCCGGGGGTGTTGCTATAGCAACCGGAGGAATCGCGGGGCCGAGGTGGGCCGGGAGTGGTGTCCGGGATTCTGCTTCCCCCTCTATGCAGTGGAGCCTCAGGCAGACATGTCCGTTCCGACGGCCCCGTGCGTGCCCACCCCCTGGGTCCAAAAGTTTTAATGAATGATCACATAGTTATAGCAAGGCAACGTTTCGGAGTCTCACAGGACCCCTTCTTCAGGCAGGTGATGAATAGAATACCAGTCGGGTTTTTATTGTTGTCTGTGCCCCTCTTAGGGAGATTTGCCCTCTCTATTCGTCCTGTTTGCTAAATATCACTAAAAGTGAAATAAAATCAAAACATTTTGGATGTTCCTAGAACAGAAATAGAAGGTAAATCTTCCATTGGGGACCCTAGTTCTAGTGACTCTGGTGACAACAATGGATTCCCTCATTTTGAAGGGATTTCCTCTCACTTCTTTTTAAGCTATGGAAAGCAGATGGCAAAAAAATAGACAGGGGTGATAACCCTTCCTTACTTAATCAAAAGTGAAAAAAAAAATTCCTTTAGATTAACTTTAGGTTCTTAATATCCTCTTACACCTTAAAACACAGCACCCGCTTTCCAACAGGGCTCACATTCTACCTGTTCTCTATTGCAGTTGTTAAGAAGGAAATCTGAATAAATTCTATACAAATCGTAAAAACATTCCCTGGAATAACTATGCAGTTTTAGCACTATTTTGATAACCTATTAATACATTTCACGTGTTGTGTTCTTATTTATTAACTGTACAAGTAATTGTTGCCTGTGTTTGACAAGCACACCTTTGGAATAATCTTTATGGAATAATCTTTATTAAAATAATCTTTATGGATTGTGGATATTCCTGTCATGAGCCTTTTTTATAAAAAGCCTAAGTTGGGTGTTACTCCAATTGATTAAAGCTCAATTAAATAATACTTTAGAAGTATTTTGGGTGTAACTTTCATAAGTGGAGATTTAATGTGATGGCTGAATCAGTGCCAGCATTGTTAGAAAGAATCTCAATACTTTCTGGAGTGTAGATTGCTATTGATTACGTTTTCTGAACCAGAAATTAAATGAGTGCAGTAATGTTTGCTGTTTGTGATAAGACTGTTGGAAGTTATCTCAGGGTTTGGTCTTTCAGTCATTTGCCTTGTCTCATGACTTCTGTGGAAATTAAGCTAACCAACAAGCCCCCAAGAAATTAACTGCTGGCACACAAAACTCATCATACTGTGCATGCATGTTACTTGACACTTAAATGTCTCTATGGCTACTACAGTTACTTCTCATTTGTATTGTCACTCTCTTTAAGGGGTTATTCTGCTCTGTTTGCATGTTTGCACAATCCTTCCATAGTTAAAGATAAAATTGTCATTCATTTGAGGTTTAGGTAATTATGATGTTACTCACTGTAAACTCACTTTCAGCATTTATGGGGCACAAACGTTACTCAGCAATCCAGTCTTGGAGCCCACATTTTCCTGAAATGTCATTTTCCTGTGACTACAGACGTTTCAGGTCCCAGATAATATCCAACTAATTCTGTAAGAGAGGGTATGTTTTTTTATTTCCAGGACTGGGAAACAACCACTCTAGCAGCTGGGAGAAAATGTTGGAGGAGCTTTCTTGGAAAGTGTGATTGAGCCCGGGATCACGTAGAGCAATGCTATTTTAGGTGAGAGAGAGGTAAATACTATCATACATAATAATTCCATACGATTATCAAAATACAGTGTTCTTGGAGACAGTGATCTTTTTAAGAGGGACAGTTATGGTAGACAGAGAGACAAAGGAATTTTATTCCAAAACACAGACTATCCCACCAGAAGAACAAATGAGGCTAATAAGTAAATTACATGAACAGGGAGGCATTTATCAATGTTTAGCAATAGCCTCAGAACTCAGACATGACAATGATCTACATGAGTTCCTTGCCCACCCTTCAACATGAAGAAAAAAATGATGGAATACCTGCCTTTTCCCCTTTTTTTCTACTCTGCCTGTTATACCTTCTATTTCTCCTTTCCAGTCCATACAGTGATGTTCTAATACATATGCTAACCTACCCTCTATTTACATTAGGTTCTTGTTGTTCCAAGACTAAATATAAAAGCTGAGGTTTAACCAGACTGGTTTGTTTCTAAACTGCTACGCTCTAATTAATATGCAAATACTTAAATGATTGCTTCCTTAACCTCTGTTTACCTTTACAATACTATATCTATTCTCACTGTACACCTACATCATTCTGTATATTTTTTATATCTAAAACTTCAATAAATACAGATTAAACTAAAGTGTGTCTAGATTGGACAGGATGTTAAAGGTTTAAAAAGTCTATCAATTTTTTATTGCTGTTTGTGTCCTTGCTAATGTGATACACTCTCTTTATTTGCCCTGGTAACCATTGTCAATGGGACTGAATACAAGGGAAATCCAAAATTTTGTTTGTCGCCAGAACAGATATAGAGTGGAAATCTTCCAATTGGAACATTTGTTCTGTTGACAACTGTCTAAGAGGGGATTTCCTTTATCTCTGAATACATTTTAGGGGCTCTTGCACACGAGACTAGCTAGGTCCGTTCTGCACAATATTCGGCATGCAGTACACAGCCTGTCTTTGACATGAAAGGCTGTGTGCAGATGTACTTGCGTATATCGTAGATATGAGTACAGCATGCACTCTTCCTCTATTCCCCTTTCTATGCAACTTCAAGGTTGAAACTGGAAAAAAACACCAATCTTTTCATTAACCACTTGCCTACCAGGCACTTATACCCCTTTATTTACCAGGCCAATTTTCAGCTTTCAGCGCTGCCGCACTTTGATTGACAATTGCGCGGTCATGCAACATTGTACCCATATGAAATTTTGATCATTGTTTTCTCACAAATAGAGCTTTCTTTTGGTGGTATTTAGTCGCCACTGGGCGCTTTACTTTTTGCGCTATAAATAAAAAAAGTGCAAAAAATGTGAAAAAAAAAAAGTTTCTTTGTTTCTATTATAAAATTTTTCAAACAGGTATTTTTTCTCCTTCACTGATGTGCGTTGATGAGGCAGCACTGATGGGCACTGATAGGCGGCACTGATGGGCACTGATAGGCAGCACTAAAGGGCACTGATAGGCAGTACTAATCAGGTGGCACGGATAGGCGGCACTAATATGCAGCACTGATAGGCGGCACTGATAGGTGACACTGATGATGGGTACTGATAGACGGCACTGACTGGCATCACTGCTGGGCACTGACTGGCGGCACTGACTGGCACAACCCCTGGGCACTGACTGGCACAACCCCTGGGCACTGACTGGTGGCACTGACTGGCAGCACTGCTGGGCTGCACTGGTGGGTGGCACTGGCGGGCAGCACTGGTGGGAGGGCACAGGTGGGTGGCACTGGTGGGCACAGGTCGGTGGGCACAGGTGGGTGGCACTGCTGTGCACAGGTAGGTGGCACCTCTGGGCACAGGTGTGTGACACTGCAGAGTGGCACAGGTGGGTGCACTGCTGGGCACAGGTGGGTGCACTGCTGGGCACAGGTGGGTGATCTGCTGGGCACAGGTGGGCGGAGCTAGTGGGCGCACTGCTGGGCACAGGTGGGCGAAACTTGTGGGTGGCACTGCTGGGCACCGATCATCAGGACACTGATCATCAGTGCCCTGATGATCGGTGCCAATCCCCGCTCTGACAACTGCCGGTTCTCGGCAGTACTTTCCTCACGATCTGACAGCGTGAGGAAAGTGCAGCCGAGAACCGGCACTTGCATTTCCCTGTGATCAGCGTGTCATTGGACACCGCTGATCACCTGGTAAAAGGCCGCTGTGATTGGCCTTTTACCACATCACGTGATCAGCTGTGTCCGTAGGACACAGCGATCACGGAGATCGCCGGGTGCGCGCCCCCTGGGGCGCGCAGGAGAGCGCGTTCTGGGAGGACGTCATATGACGTCCACTCAGAACTGGCCGGCCGCAGTGTAGCCGTCATTCGGCTATCTGCGGTCGGCAACTAGTTAACAGGCTTTGGAGATGCCTTTAAACTGCATGTGGTGTTTTGGAACAGTAGGGTCTGACTGACAACATGTGTGACAATACATGCTGGCATCATACAATTTGCATGTGTATACTATTTTACTTTTATAATATTGCTTGCTTTTAAAATAGCAGCCGCAGCACCCCAAATTGGTTCACATTCTTGCTAGGAAACTGCTTTTTGAAGTAGTTGCAGATGTGTTATCTCATTTCTTTAACCATACGTAACACAAGTTGACCGGTGGGAGTAGCAGCTAGACACAGCAAATCCTAAAGCTTTACCAAACTGTGCTCTTCAAAAAAATAACAGTAAAGCCCTCAACATCTTACAATTTGACCATTGGCACAAGAGTTTGATGGTACAGTTGGTGTGCTTGCAGGATGGTTGGGTTATACCAACTATGCCATATTGTGGGTAGGGCCTGCTGCGCCCGTGCACTAGGGGTACTGAGAGTGCACTCACCAATGCTAAGGACTAGGTGGGGACTGCAGTCATGTGTACAGTCTAAGATTAGGGCAGTCACTCGACTTAGAGATGATCTGCCAATACATATAGAATGAAGCTGAGTTATCAATAAAATGTTGGCCCATAGCTCTACATACTGTGATTTCAATGTATTGCATTTGGAGTGGTGGGTAAAGCTGCACCACCTCCACCATCCAGTGTACCTCTGTCCCAGTAACAGAATGGGATCCCACCAGACTCATGGTGTGGATCTCATGTGTGTCTGTGTTAACTCATCCGTACCATACAGTTAGGCTGAGGACCTCTATAACACTGGTCTGCTCCCAGTTGCTGTTGGAAACAGACCGCTAGGAAGAGAATCCAAATAGCAACTCCCTCGCTATCAGAAGACACCTCACCTTACCCAGGTACCACACCTCAATTGGTTGCTTGGTGTCTTAAATGTACACCTAGTTATCATTAGCAATGACTTTGCTCCTTCTTAGCGTACTGACTTGACACTGTAGTGTGGTGTTCTTCATACGCTCTAGTGTTATTACAAACCCAGGTTCTTTTGTATTTGCCAGCCCTATTATGCACCCCTTTGAATAACTTCAGACCAGGTTCAAGGCCAGAGTTTACCAGTCTTTACTGATCAACTTTAGTGCAAACATGCTACAGTGCAACCATTCCTTCAATCATCTAACTATTAGATGGCCCAGGCATGCCTTATAGGTGACAGTTCACCATTACAGAGTCCATTGATGATGGTACAGTCCAAAGCTGGTGGCATGGTCCCTGGATGGCGACATCCCATGGCTCATGATATAGAAAGAAGATGGATTGATCTCTCCAAGTCCTGGAATGTAATAGCAGCAGTCCAACATCACACAAGAATGCTCGGGGACTCTCGGAGGGCCCTGGACCTCAGCCTTACCTCAATTTATACCACAGGTAGTAGCCCAAAAAGCATGTGCATCAGGAGTAGGGATCTTAACTCATTTCCAACCCAGCATGGGCCAGTACCTGATTTACTAAGTAATTTCAACCTGCTTACATGCTTTTTTTAATTACAGAACCATACTGCATTTTCTTAAAAGTTTAATAAAATTTCACAGCAGAGTACATCAACACAACAAAACCTCAAATTCTACCAATCCCCTCTCCCATCCTTGTATCTGCAATTGTACCCAAAATTTTATAAGTATACAAGTATGACAAAAGTAGACAAGTATGTGTGAGAGAGAAATTTGCTAGCAACAGGACAGTATACAGATCTGCTGCTCCCACCCCCAGCCAGTTTATGATTTGTGCTGCACCACTTAGACAGATACCCAGATGTCCATTTTCTGCATAGAATGCCATAGCTGCTCTCTACCTACATGTCTAGTGGTAATGTTTTGCTGGGCTATGCTGTCAGAGTCTACATGACCACTAAAAGGTGATTCAACAAGCACAGACAGAAATGATATATTACCTTCTCATTTGGAAAATACTATGGATAGGAAGGGTGTAGGACGGGGCACAATGGTAAAGCTGGTGGTAACAATTCGTGTCTTGCAAATGGTGACAGTGACAGCGGGGTCACTTCTCCCCCCTTTTTTTCAATAGCTTCAGGCAGTCAATCCTCATGGCTAGCAGTTTTCCTTAAATGTCCCAGGATCTGTGCAATGTCCCAGGCAAAATGCAACCATGCTGCGTTGCTGCTGGTATAGCGGGGGGACAAGAGAGAAAGTAGGCTGTAGCCTCTGGAGGCTATTCTGGGACAGACAGGCTGAGAGGTGGCTGACCCTATGTATTTATTTTATATATAGACAGTCCCCATAATTTTGTAAGGTGACGATGTGTGTGGTCTGGATATAAAAAAAAATCCACCTTCTTCAAAATTGTCACTAAACACTACCCCTCCTCCCCCCCCTATTTTTAAATCCCAAGTCAAAGAAAAAAATTAAAAAGCACCCCCTACGCATAAAACAAGAGCGAGTATAGCAGCCAAACATTAGTTGCTGTGATACCCACAGAAAGGTATATCTACCAGGAAAAAATACAATGGGGTATCTCCAAAATATAGGAGAATGCAAAATACATACTCTGTCTCAATTAAATATGGACATTTTAATTCTCCCTGAAAAAGCTCACAAATCTACCCAAATCTGACAACTGTAGAACACACTTTTTGTGTGTCTGTGACTGCATGTACATATAGAGAGACTTTTATAGGGCTTTCTTTTTTTTTAACTACTCCACATCTGTTGCAATGCACAATGAACAAAGGCTCTTGAAATGCATGACTTTTATTAGTGTGGCTGGCACATAGCAAAACTTCCATGATTGGCTGTCCAAGCTACCTAACCACAGTTTAGAGGCCAGAAAATGCATGGCTGGCAATGGTTGATTTGGCGGCGAATGAGTTCACCATTTTCTTGAAATGCAAAGAGTTTGGGTCAAATCCATGAACCGGCTGTCTCTTTTCTGCTTAAGGAAATTTGCCTGAAGTGCTTTTCAAATGAACCACTTTCCGCACCTTTTCCCAAACTAGTCAGTTATTCCTGTGCTTGGTTGCCCACCAGACACTTTGAAGTTTCAATCAACTAGTGTACAAACTGAATTCTACATTTTAAAATAAAGGATCAGCTATACTGGGCAGGGACTATTTTGCTGAGCTAAATCTACAATTAGTGGGTAGTATTTTCACAACAGTTGCCCCTATACTACCAATACTTTCAAAAATTTGCATCTGTATTAACAGATGTATAGACTCCAGAGAAGAAGACATCATTTTCCCACCGTACAAAGCATTAGTAAAACCTCATCTGGAATATGCAGTTCAGTTTTGGGCACCAATTCACCAAAGGATATTGAGGAACAGGGGAAAGTGCAGAGAAAGGCAAACAAACTGATAAGATGAATTGAAGTGCTCAGAGGAAAGATTAGTTGAACTGAATGTATTCTCTCTTGAGAAGAGGAGATTAAGGGGAGATATGATCTCCATGTATAAATACATTCAGTTAGTGGTTCATATAGTGAGTGAGGAGTTTTTTCATTTTAAGTGCATTACAAAAAGGACAAAAATGCACTCTACTACATATAAAGAAGAAAAAGAATTTAACCTTCACATATGGAAAGTCTTCTTCACAGTAGGATCTGTGAAAATGTGGAATAGACTCCCTCAAAACCTAGTTCTGGCCAGCTCAGTGGATTGTTTTAAAAAGCTGCTAAATGCATTCCTAAATGCACAAAATATAACTGGATATTAACATTTTTAGGTAATAACCAGGCCCAGACTGGGATAAAAAATTGGCCTGGGCATTTTAGTCTGAGTTTTTTCTTTAAACCAAATTATAAATAATGACAACTACCAGCTTCTCGATGTCTTTTAGTTATACAGTATTTAGCCCTCACTGATCCTCCATTGATATCAGCACACTCTGGATCCTGAGCTCTCTGCTGCATACCTTGGCCTGTAGTTTCTGCCCAGCTTCCAGTAGGGGGTGTGGTGCTGCTGGTGTCCCCAGGGATTACACATTCCTGAGCGGGGTTAGTTTGGTGTAGCCGTGTGGAGTCAAGGCCACCTCCTTTTCCCTCAGCCAAGCCCCTGAAAGTAACCCCGGAGTGTGCAGTGCGGGGAGCCACTGAGCATGGAGAGTGTTGAGTGAGGATTGCCTGTTATAGCTTGGAGCGCTGTGTAACTACTGTGATCTTTGGCCTGGCTGGGAATGCTGTCTGGAAACTGGGAACTGTCACTGGGGATTGCTCAGTGCTTTTCTTAGGACATGTGGTCTGACGGCCCCTGCCCACAGGTCAAATGCCTGGTGTGCCCTATGGCCAGTCCTGGGCTGGTAATAACATCAGAGATTCATTGACTTAAACCCAAAAACCCACAATTATAGTGAAAAAATCAAGACCCAAAGAGAATACCCAAAAATAAAAAATATCAAATATGTATAAAAGAACAAAAATAAAATAAAGTCCCAATATGCAAAGTGTCCAAATAATGTGTCCAAACAAAGATCAATTTCTTGATAGGAAGACGCTTCCTACTCTACTGAAGAAGATGCAAATCAATCACAGGTGCTCTTCAAATACCTCAAAAA